TTATAATAAATTATAATAAATTACATAACTAATAATAAATTATATATATAATAATAAATTATAATAAATTACATAACTAATAATAAATTATATACATAATAATAAATTATAATAAATTAAATAATAAATTATTATAGCGATGGTATATTGAAATTCAATAAGGGATCTAATTAGATATTCTTTTAATATACACATACAAAAATACAATATACACATTAAACAAAAAAAAAGAACAAACAAATATTATTTTAACAATCATTTGTGCTTGTTCCAAAGTATTTTCTTTTATAATATATATATATATAGAGATCGATAAAAAACGTATAAACCCCGTTGGCCAATTCGTGGCACTCGTTAGAAACGATACTTTTTGATAGGAAAATAAATGTCTTATCGTAAAGAAAAAAAAAAAAACCCAGAATGGAGGTGGAGAAGCTAAGAAAAGTAAAGGGTGTTTGGGGAAAAGGAAAAAAGGGGTGATAGAAGAGAGGTTGGGTGGTACAGGTCGAGTAGAATTTTTTTTCTCGTCTCAACTATATATTTCTCTGATTCTTTTTCGTTTTCTTTTTCTTTTTATTTTTATTTTTATTTTTATTTTTGTTTTTCCTGTTCTTTTTCCTTCCTCACACACTCTGGTAAGAATTTATCTTAAAGTATCACGAAATTGTGTGTTGTAGAAGACTTCAGTAACAGAAAAAGAGCCCCGCAGGCGGAAACTTGGTACTGTAGGTTCATTTCTAAGGTGGCTTTGGGGGTTGGGAGTGGGTTTGAGGGTTGGGGGTGCAGTGCACGTAGTAAAACAATCAATCCGGTTACCCTGGGTTCTATTATATGTTCTTACTACGGTTCGTTTCGTAGCCCCGCGAAGAAATTTTTCCACTTTTATGTGAAAATAAAACTGCTATTCGCAGCGAACGTAAGTAAACCCCCACAACCCCCATCCCCATCCCCATCCCTCTAGACGAGCGTTATTTTTCCATCGAGACACACTCTACTTCAATATACTTGTACATATATATATATATATATATGCATGTATATATTAGATTTTATAGTATATACATACAGGGTGTCTAAGGAGTTTTTCTTTCTGCTTTTTTTTTTTTTTTAATATTTTATTTTTGATTAAATGATGTTGATTCAATTAGAAAGTTGTTACATCAGTTACATCACTCATACGTTTGTATATATCCAATTTTGTTTTTTAYTTTATTTTAGCAATATGTATTTTTTTTTTTTTTTGGTAATTTAATTGTTTCAAAAATTTACATTGAAAAAAGGTTTTTATATTGCTTTATATATTGTTAAATAATTTGAATCGTTTTAATGGAAAATTGTGTACCTGTTTGCAGTTGTTTTTCAGAGAGTTAAAACACGTACCTTATTGATGATCGTCAAAAAGTTTGCCTTCACAGCTTGAAAATAAAAAATAAAAAAAGGGAATTAGTTATCACGATACTTAAGTTAGATGAATAATATAAAAAATCAATTTTGTTTACTTGTTTGTGCAATTATGTTGATTGGTTTATCGAGTAATCAATTTTCTTTCTTTCATTTAAATTTAATATTATATATGTATATATATTTTATAATAATCAAGTTTATTATCAGAAGGTAATTATGAGTGTACTGGATAATTCATAAAATTATAATAATAAGTTACGGAAAATATATATAAATTATTGAGAGATGCAACTATTAAATAGAAAGAGAGAGAACTAGTGATAATAATAGAACAATTGAATTTATATAGGCAACGTGATTAATCGATTTTTCTTCTCTCACGTAAATATAATTAATAAACAATTAAATGAATTTCAACTGAAATCTGTTAGCAATATTTAATTTTCATTGTCATTTTCATTGTAATCGTAATAAGACAAACAATTGATCGATTTTCATTTGTTATTAAATTATTTACTAATAATAATCGTTTAAATAAATTAGATAATAATAAATATGTATTAGAGATTTGTTCGGAATATTATATAAAAAAAAAAACGATTTTAAATAATAATTAATATTTCTATAAAAGCTATATATATATATATATTATAATACTAAACCAAAACTCTGTTGAGTAATGTTTTAATTTATAATATAAATCATTATTATTTGAATAACGTGTTATCGAATAAATAAAATAATCATTAATACAATGAAAATATATATCTGTAAATTTTGAAAGATTATCTACAATGTTAAATAATTAATTAAAGAATAATAAATGAACGTAATCATTATTTTAAATAACAAATTATATTTCCTAAATATAAAACAGTAATGTGTGTGTGTGTAATAGAAAATAATTAATCGAATAATAGGAATAATTATTAATAAGAAGAGTAAAAAAAAAAAAAGAAAGGACAAATTCGTGATTTCTCGAAGACGATGAACAACAAGAATAACAATAACAATAACAACATAAACAATTTAATTATTAATTAACGTTTATATGCAAATATGAGATAATGCAAATGCCCCACGCGCTAAACGTTGTGTTGAAAACGTTTGAAAATTGAAATTAATTTAAACAAATGAATTTTTTGTTTTGTTTTTTTTTCGCACTCATACAAAAACATATTATTATTATTATTATATCCTAGCATGATCATCAAATTCGCGTTATCGAGATCGTTAATTTGAAATCGGGGGGAAAATTCTTATTATTATTATTATTATTATTATTATTATTATTATTATTATTATTATTATTATTATTATTATTATTATTAATATTATTTACATAGATGATACGAGTATTATTCGATTAGTAGCAAGATGAAGGAATATCCATAAAAGTATTGCCCAGCATCTTTCTGGTGGGGATGAAGTTGACGAAGCTGAATCTTCAGTACCAACTGCTGATGGGTCCATGGTTGAACCAGTTTCCCTAAGTGAACCCTGATAAATATGATGAAGCCTGTGATCCCTTTCATTCATTGATTCGTTCGTGTTCTCATCACCACGATGGTCTCCTATTTTTTTCAAATGTTTTGGTAACTCCAAATCTGTAAATTATAAACAAAACAAAACAAAACAAAATAAGAAGATAAGAGATCATTTTGATTGAGGTATTTTTTATGGTGTAAATTATGACAATTATTTGTTACGTTCTAAGGTTGTTTACTTTATTTGTTTTTTGTTTTAATCTGTTACGTTCGGTACTTGTCATCGTCAAAGACAATTAATTCTTAAGCTAATGAGATTTACGTTTGATACTTTTCATTGTCCAAAATAATTTTTTAAACCCAATGAGATTTTGTAGACGTCAATGTGACTATCCAATAAAAAATAAGGTTTGCATATCCTGAGAAATATGATTTATTATTTGAGAAAATAACTGGTGAAGGAAGTGGGGTGTGATGGTTGGAATAGAGAATAGAAGTATATAAAGAAGATCAGGAAACACAAAGCGAATTATTTCTTATTTTTCTCATAAATCCTGGTATTTCTGTTTTTAATTAATAAGGTCTGTATTCTTGTTTTCCTTGATAAGTCTCTATATTTACGTTTTAATTAATAAGTTTGTATTTCTGCATTCTGTAAAATCAGACAGTGAAATCCTTCATTAAAATTGATTACTTAACGTAAAAGAATTTATTTCAAGATAAACAAATTTAAGAGAGAAAGAATATAGAATATTTAAAGTATATTATACAATTAATTATTAGTTTAATATTTATTTATTAGAATATTATATTTTTATTATTATATTATAAAATTAATTAATGAAATCTTCAAATTTAAATGATATGATTTAGTAAATAGCATAAGTATTGAAAATCTTCGAATTGTTTTATAATTATCTTTATATACTTTATTTTCTTGGCATCCAATATACCGACACTGTAAACACAACAGAAATAAATAGCAGAAGAAGAACAAGAGGAAGAAGAAGAGGAAGAAGAAGAAGACACTCGATTAGGAAAAAATACAAAATATACAAGTAAACAAACAAACAAACAAACAAACAAATAAACAAACAAACAAATAAACAAACAAACAAATAAACAAACAAACAAACAAATGAATGAAATCGAAACGAAATAAATAGAAAACAAATAAAATAAAAAACATCCATTGAAGAGAAAAAAAAGTTCGATGTTTACGCCGTTATTTTTTTTTATTGTTGTTAGCTACGTGTAAACGTTCGAACAAACAGAAAAACAAACAAACAAAAACAATAGTACGTAAAAAATATTATTTCGACATATAAATGAGAGAGAGAGAGAGAGAGAGAGAGAGAGAGAGAGAGAGAGANGAGAGAGAGAGAGAGAGAGAGAGAGAGAGAGAGAGAGAGAGAAAGAGTTAGGGGGTGGTGATGGTGGTGGTGGTGGTGTTAGCGTGTGAGTTTTCTAGACACCAGTTGTCCGTGAGAAACCCCTCGAATATTATTTTTTTTCCCCCTGTGGTTCGGTGGTGTGTTCATACAAGAAACACACACACACATACACATACATACACGTGTTTTATTTTCCTCGTCAGTGCACATGCATGTACCAACGCGAGAGGAATTCCTCTTTGACAAGGAATCCCGATTCAATTTATCGCGTAGCTTTACGTATTCTCTTTTTCTCTAACTTTCTCTCTCACTCTTATCATCTTCATATATGTGTGTGTGTTCTTCTATATGCACACCATCATACATACACATATATATACACGTTTAAGGTAAATCGTTACTATGCTTGCAGCAAACATGCATCCTATATGTATATACATGAAGTCACATATATACCTGTACGACAGAAACATATATATGCATGTATTTGTAAAAGAGAGATAGAGAGAGAGAGAGAGAGAGAGAGAAGGGATACAAGGGTAGGGAGGGGAGAAAAAAAGAAAGAAAGAAAAAGAAATAGAAGGATGAAAGAGAAAAGTGGAGAAATACGTCGAGAGGATAACCCGAGAATATCCGAAGTGTAATAGTAGTAGTAGTAGTAGTAGTAGTGGTGAAATGTAGTGGTAGTAGTGGATAGAAAAGTGGGGGAAAGTGCTAAGAGAAAACGTGCGCGGCAGCTCGTCGAAATAGCAGTTTAGCACTGATAACACTTGGCAGAGTTTTATCGATCATGTCTGGCAACAGATGGCTCAGCCAATTCCCTATAGTTGTTGGTACGGCTCGGCAAGCCACATACACATACATACACAGATATATAGAAGGAGGAGGAGGAGGAGGAAGAGGAGAGTGGAAAATCTTCTTCCTTTTACCTTTCCTGATTTTTCTTTCTACGGTTCTTTTCTGATAAACGATAACTAATACGAAGAAACACACCATCATCCTTTTTTTTTCTTCTCTCTTTCTCTTTCTTTCTCATTAGGAAAGATACCAACAACAACAACMCAACATACACATCAGAGTGATTGGGGGTGAGGTAAGAAGAAGAGAGAGAGGGGTATACTGTAAGAGAAAAAGATGCTGTGCTAAGATTTTGATTTCGTGGGACTTTTAATCTTCGACGTGACCTTATTTTCTATGAGATAAACATGACTTATTGTTTTCTTTTCTTTTCTCTATCGTTTTAATTGTTCCAAACACGTATACGTATCTTTTATTTTTTATTTTTTTTTTTACGGTTGTGTTAGCGTTGCGTAATTTTTTTCTTTTTTTTTTTCATTTCATAATATATCCTATCTTTTTTTTATTTGTTTGTTTGTTTTCTTTTGTTTTTTTTTTTTTACTATCACGTTTTTATTCTTTGATTTTTATTTTTACACGTTAGTTTTATTACTTTTATATTATCATTTTATTATTATTAAGCAATGTTACAACTCAGTCTCCAAAAATGAAATAAAATAATTTTTAGCATTTTCTTTTACTATATTAATAAATTGGATTGAATAAATAACGAATATATTCTACATATAGATATTGCTGACAAGATAACAATAACAATAACAATAAAAATAAAAATTTGTTTTATTTGACAGAACGACGATATAATATTTTTAATTAACGTGAAATATTATAATAAAAATTTTGATTGGACGTTATAAAATATTATAAAACATATCGTTATGAATGTGAAAATGAAAGAATTCAATTTCGAATGGCAGATAACACACCCCCATATAACATTTCTCGTTTACTCTTTTTCAAACGTTAATCTCACTGAATTTAGCTCATCGCGTGACTCCAAAAAACTATTCCACTTTTCACTCTACTCTGCGATTCATTGTTTTTTTTTTTTTTTTTTTTTTTTTTTTTTCTATGAACTTGTGTATACGTGCGAGAATGATTGCGTGTGTATATGTGTGGATATGTGTGTATATTTTTTCCCTCTTCCCTTTCATACTTTTTATTTTATTTCACTCTTTACGCCTTTTTCCTTTCCACTTCTCTATGTAAAATAATCTTTTTGATGAAGCACGCTAGTACACACACATATACACAGAAATAAACACATATTCATATACACCAGCCAGATATATACACTTACTCGTGAAACGCGCGAATCGTTTCGATTGTAACTCCGATAAACCTGTTGCAACAAAACTCGTTCAATTTCTACCTAACTTGTAAGCTAAGGATTATATCAATTCAAAATATATATTGCTAAAAAGAGAGGAAGAATGAGAGAGAGAGAGAGAGAGAGAGAGAGAGAGAGAGAGAAAGAAAATGGTAAGAGGAGTAGGTAAAAGTAGGAGGATGAAAATAGTTATATTTTTAAGTTGATATTAATTTCATGTGAAATCTATCCGATATACATATATACGTAGTACGTTTGTTATTTTCTTTCAATCGTATCCTTTGCCTTTTCTTTATCTAACTATATATTAAAATAGAAAGAGACACAGAAAGTTTATTACATATTTGAATTATTAATACATATACTACCCTTAACAGAAAATATTACGAATTTATATATATCTAAATATATATATATATATTATTTTGTATATTATACTACGGACTTTTCGAAAATACCCTACGGACTTTTCGGAAATACCCTACGGACTTTTCGGAAAAAAACCTCAGGACTTTTACGATGTGCGTGTGTTTTTATTGTTATCAAGGCATTATTATTATTATTATTATTATTATTATTATTATTATTATTATTATTATTATTATTATTATTATTATTATTATTATAATTCGTGAAAAAAACTTACAGTAAAGTCCGATGCTACCCTCGGCGTCTCCAATCGAATTTTTCGAGATACACCTGTAACCACCGTAATCTTGTTTTTGTAAATTCATTATAACTAATTTCATTTGCACACTATACGATGACGTCTTTGTCTCCGACATCGAATATTTGATGTTACTTATGATCATTTCACCTATAACAAAAAATAATATAATTTATAAAATTAAATTATTATCATATAAATAATTATATGATCAAATAATAATCATCATCATTTGTTGAAATATTTCGATAGAATGAAATATAAAAATATTCTTTTATTTTTTATTTTTTGTTTTTTGCTTTTTTTATATGTAAACTTTCCTATAAACATTTTATTTTGCATTTATTTTCTTGATATAAAAATAATGAATTGCAAATATATTGTAATAACCAACGGATAATTAAATACTTGCATTCATTTAAAAATTTTATTTTCTTATTCTTCAATAAATAACTTAAATATATATATATAGGGATAATTTATTTAGGGTGAGAGGTGCAAGGTGAACATATACCCAGTTTAATCCTACTAATAAGATTTATTTAAAACAGGTATTAGAAAAGGTAAAAACTCCGATAGAAGTACGAATTAAGTTGAATGATAATGTTGAAAAAATACAAGAGAAAGCAGAAATCAAACCAGAAATAAAGATTTTCAAAGATTTGATAAAGATAACGGTGGAAGAAAGCAAAGAAGAAATACCAATGATAGATGTTGTAAAAAGTAAATTTGAAAAGCCTACAGTAACTGCAGTTGTAATTCCAAAAAATATAAAAACAACGGTTAAAGTGGAACCCACGGGAGAAATCAAAGAAGAAGAGATTGAAAAAGACGAAACAATGTTGATATCCGAAGAAAAGAAAATAGAAGCGATTAGGACGATTGCAGAACATCGACCATATGAAGATTTCACGTTGGAAAACGGCCTGTTGAGAAAAAGAAAAGAACGCGATAAACAGTACGAAGAAGAAACTCAATCTTCGGGGACCGAAGATTCGCAGAATGGCCGAATGTAGGAGAGTTTTAAGTGTAGCAGAGGTAGACAAAA